CCGGGTCCATGGCACAAGGCGCTCGGGCGGCCCCGGCCCTGGGGCACGTGCTGGCGCCGGGTGCAAGGGCATCCCCACCCCTGGCGTGCCCCAGGATGCGTGGCCCTGCCCCCGGGCGCCCGGCACTCAGGCAGCCCCAGCCCCGGCCCTGGGGCACGTGCTGGCGCCGGGTGCAAGGGCATCCCCACCCCTGGCGTGCCCCAGGATGCGTGGCCCTGCCCCCGGGCGCCCGGCACGTGTGTGGCCCCACCCCCCGGGTGCCTGGGAGCCTCTAAAGGTTGGGGACCACTGGACTAGATCTTAGTCCCAGTTACCTGACCATGACACCAGGTTTACAAAGCGTGTTTCTTACCTCAGTAGCTTCCTGCTCTCACAATCAGGCCTCACACTGTGCATAAAATAAGGGTTGTGAAATACAGGTGCATTCTAGCTCTCTTTTTTTTTCAGAAATTAACTACAATTTTTCCTAAGACAAGACTGATAGCAGTTTCGTGTGATTAAACTGAAAACTGGGATTCCGTAATGACAGTGAGAGTAGAGTTCAATGTCATGATGATGATTTTTTTTAAAAAAAGTAGTGTGCACTTTGATAGCGCTCATCAGGGGAGCATCTCAAAGTGCTTTCTAAATATGAAAGAGTGAAGCCATGCAACATCCCGCATGCAGCACTGAAACACAGCCTCCTTTAGTGTTTAAAATATAGCTTCAAAACAATTTAGAACAAGAAGAGGAAGTGAAAACTAAAATATTTGGTTGGAAACCAGAGTGAGGGTTTAGGGCCACAGATTGTGATCTTTAAGGGGTGTCCCAAATGCTCAGGACCACTGTCTCCCAACCAGCACAGTGTCTCCTTCTCAAGCCTCGGACATAGGTTAGGATTCTAACTCATAAAGACACAAGCTACCCATGCATTTTTTTCAGTACTCGGCTGTGCACTAAGGACCTCCCATCCTAAAGCTAAAGAACGGCTTAGCTTTCAGTCTTTGTCGAGATCCCAATAGCAGCAGAATGGCTGTAGTCAGCATGAGGTGGAACTTTATGGTTATTACAATGAATATGATCAGAAGTCCTATATGTGATATCTTTTAAATGTTGCAATTCCATCCTTTCATTTGTTCAATAAAATATAATTTCAACCATAGCCTTTTTTTTTAATATTTATTGTATTTCTTATTTCTATATTTGAGTTTTGTGGTATGCTTCTCACCTTGAAACGGCTGATAAGTTCGTATCGGGTGAACAGCTCATACATCATGAATTTCAGACTGTGCTCTCCACTTGCTTCATTTAGGGCAAACACATCAAATGACCATTTATCAACATCCTGCAGAATGAGGGGGGAGGGAGGAGGAGAAGAATCACATTCATATATTTAAATAGGTCCCAGTTAATAAATGGAAGCATTTGAAGCAGTATCTATTTCTCCAAAGTCACCGGCTTCTTTTTCTCCATGGGTACGTCTACACTACAGCGCTAGTTCGAACTAACTTAGTTCGAATTAGTTAATTCGAACTAAGCTAATTCGAACTAACGCGTCTAGAACTAAAAACTAGTTCGAATTAGCGTTTTGCTAATTCGAACTAGCAAGTCCACATTGAGTGGACTCTGAACAGGGCTTAAGGATGGCCGGAAGCAGTGCCGGCAGGGCATAAGAGGAGGACTTAGAGCATGGAGATGCTGTCTCAGGCTAGCCGAGGGCTGCGCTTAAAGGGTCCCGACCCCCACCCCGGACACACAGTTCTAAGGGGTGCCCCGCTTGCAAAGAAGTTCTGGCTTGGAGTGCCTGGAGTACCCACACTGGGCACATCACACCACTTGGCCATCAGCCCGGCTGCACTTGCCGCAGGCTGCCATCTGGGGAGAGGGGGCAATTGGGGGGCTGCAGGAGAGCTTCCACCCCCAGAAGCCCGCAGAGCCAGCCCAGTTGTCCCCATCGGGGGCTCGTACCCCATTCTTCCCTCACCTCCTTCCACTTACCCTTCCCTAGCCCCCCTTCTTATTGATGTACAAAATAAAGATAACGTTTCTTCCAACATTGACTCTGTCTTTATTGAAAAAAACTGGGGGAGACTGGGAAAAGGAGGTGGGAGAGGGGAAGAGAAAGGCTGGGAGAGGGGAGGGCAACTAACATGATCAGGGGTTGGGAACAGGTCCCAGATGAAGAGAGGCTACAGAGACTGGGACTGTTCAACTTAGAAAAGAGGAGACGGAGGGGGGACAGGATAGAGGTCTCTAAAAGCAGGGGTTGGGTGGAGAGGGTGCATTCAGAAAAGTTCGTCATGAGTTCCCATAAAGAAGGACTAGAGGACACCAAAGGAAAGGAATGGGTAGCAGGCTTGAAACTAGTAAGAGAAAGTTGTTGTTCTTGACAAAGCAAATAGTTAACCTGTGGAACTCCTTGCTGCAGGAGGCTGTGAAGGCTACAACTAGAACAGAGTTTAAAGGGAAGTGAGATCAAGTCATGGAGGTTGGGTCCATGGAGTAGTCTTAGCCAGGGGGTAGGAGTGGTGTCCCTGCCCAAAGTTTGTGGAAGGCTGGAGAGGGATGGCACGAGACAAATGGATTGGTCACTGTCTTCAGTCCATCCCCTCCGGGGTCCCTAGGGTTGGCCGCTGTTTTGTGGTGCATCCAAAATTGTGCCTGGTACATTGCAAACATAAAAAAACAAAAAACCCACGCACTGTCCCAGCCCTGCAGAGCTTACAATGAGTGGAAATATGATAAAGGAAGACAATATCAGATAGCACCGTTAATTAAGCAATCATCACATTTAGAAGCTGGCACTAAACAGCAGTAAAATAAGTAAGTGTTCTTTAACTTCTGGCTGTGATGTAGTCAGGACTGGATTGGTTCCTTGGTCCTTCTCTAACTCTCTTTGGGTATGTCTACACTAGAAAGTTAGTTCGAACTAACGGACGTTAGTTCGAACTAACTTTCCTATGCGCTACACTAGCGCTCCGTTAGTTCGAACTTAATTCGAACTAACGGAGCGCTTAGTTCGAACTAGGTAAACCTCATTTTACGAGGACTAACGCCTAGTTCGAACTAGCTAGTTCGAACTAGGCGTTAGTCCTCGTAAAATGAGGTTTACCTAGTTCGAACTAAGCGCTCCGTTAGTTCGAATTAAGTTCGAACTAACGGAGCGCTAGTTTAGCACCTAGGAAAGTTAGTTCGAACTAACGTCCGTTAGTTCGAACTAACTTTGTAGTGTAGACATACCCATAGTTACTCTCATGAATAGCTATTCTAATACTAACAGCAAACCTAACTGGGAAAATTATTAGTAAAAATACTTGTATCTTGAGCTATATAATTGGGGGCATCAACTGCTAGGTGTTTTGCATGCTTACAAACTAAGGTCCTGATCTTTCAAGCAACTACACAATGAGTATCTTTACACATATACATTGTTGCACACCAAGTTCAGTGGTGGGTTTTTTTTTTTTTGTTTTTTTTTGCATCGAGTAAGTCATACATACATCTAAAAAATCAGGGTGAACATTACAACATTTGTCTGATAGGGTTACAGGTTACATACTACAGGTTGAGCCTCTCTACTATGGCACCTTTAGGACCTGACTGGTGCTGAACCATGGGAGGTCAATATTGTGTAGCAGCATTACCAACACTTCCCCTGCTTACCAGGCTCTTAGAAGACATTTAGGAGTAAATAAGAGCTAAATAACAGCACAGAACACTGACAGGACTGGTGGTTGTAAACAGTCTTAATGAAACTGCAGGAAACTTGGCCACCCCCACGATAAGTGACATTCAGCTAACTACAATCATACCGGACCATGGATGTTGCCAGAACAGAGGTTGTCAGACTAGAGGGGTTAAACCTGTACCTTCTTGCTTAAGATATGCTATTTTTAGGTATATATTGTATTTATATACATATGATTACTCTCCAAAAAAGGAAAGAGGCACTGCTCTCTGAGACTCTGATTTCTAGTATAATTTGGGGTTGATAAAATCACAACAGTTCAATTTTTATTAAGCAATTTTCTATTCAAATTTGTCTATTGCTCTAATTATATCTTAATGAAATAGAGATAAAATAAATATAATCATATGCTACTTGTGAATTTTTCTCTTATATGTAGCGCTTTCTGCAGTCTCATAGATGGTCATAATACTTTCAGAAAAGGCATCCATAAAAGTCATTCAACACACATACAAATATATTCAAATGACACAACTAAACTGTTTTCACCTTAAATGTTACTATCACTTCTGCTGGGTAAGCCAAACCAACCATGTTAGAAGTCCTTCGGTACATTCTAAAAGAACAAACACATTATTAATTAGTTGGTACTAATTCAACCTTTTAAAAATTTCTTCTTTTCAGTTTCTCAATTTTATAATTTTTGAATTAAGGGCCTAATCCAAAGCCCATTCAGCTCAGTGGGAGTCTTTCTGTTAACTTAATGGGCTTTCAGGAATGATCTCGTGGTCCTATGAAGTATTACTTTTTGGTCTAATAATACACTGCTAGGAATACTTCCTTTAATTAATCATTGTAGCTATTCACATTCACTTAATGTGAATAAAGGAAATAAACTATTTAAATTTAGTATTGTCATCAGTATCATTACCACAGATTCACCTGCTTTTATCACCTAACAAAAGAATAGTCTAACTGTGGGTTTCTGGTATTTAAACATCCAGGCACAGATACTCCATTAATACAAGACGGTGCTGTTCAATTGGTTTCAGTCCAAAAACATGACTATCATGTATAACTAAGTTAATTGTGTTATTGTTTTAAGTAAACATTGAGTTGGTAATTTAAGAGTTGTTTGGAAAAGAGATTTGGATACACATCTATGTCCAACCCACTGTACTACAACTATATCTAACGTAAAAAAACCCCAACAATAGCAACAACTATGGCCTGGGGCCTATGGCTATTAACTAAAAGATTTTTTTTTCCAAATATTCTGGTCCACACATAGGCAATGGTCCACATAAACATTGTTAGAAATATAACTCCTGTTATGCTTCTTTAGCTCATATGTTTTGGGATTGCTCCTATAATCAAGAATTTCTGGTAGGAATAGGGGTCAAAAGACCAATTGGATATTGGATGCTAAGCTGAAGCCCTCCTCAAGTTTCATTGTTGAAAATATTCCTGATACCTGAAAATTACCCGATTAGAAGATAACATGGCTCCAATGTGCAGGTTAGGCTGCAAAAATTAATCCTGCAAAGTGGAACAGTCTATTCCTACCAAATATTGATGCCGGGCTCAGGGATATGGCTGACATTGCACCCAATGTACAACTGGCATTTCACAGAAAGAGAAAGCCCAAAAAATTCAAAGCAATTTGGGCTAATGTTTTAGAGGTCTCTGATCCATGTAGACGCTGAAGATCATTATGTCACACTACCACTCTTTCTTCCCTTCATCCAAATTCTCTGTGTTTGATTTGTGTATTAGGATCAGTCTGGTATTTTGGTATATTTGTTGTACTTGAAAAGCATAACACAAAATTATCAATAAAAATGTAAATGTTGAGTCTTGGTCACATTTTGGTGTAGATGGGTCTATGCCATGCAGTTTGGGTCCAGAAATTTCAAGTGTTCAAAAGGATTCGTATCTAGGGAGTTCATTCAGATCAGTGCAATGCAGACCATGATAGAGATGAGGCTAGGAGGCAGTTCAGATGCAGATCTGAACTTTCCCAAAGCTTTGGTGCCACACGTTGTTTAGAATTTGGCTCAGATAGTGCCACGGTGGTTAAACATGTTATCTGCTATAATGCTAAAATCCACACTCACCTTTCTACAAATATCCCAGCCTGCACAGCATGCACAATGCTTCGGAATTTTGGCTTTTCTTCAGGTCTCCTTTTTGTCATCCCCATTTTCCTTGTGAAGGTAGAAGCCAGCCAGTCCCGTACTTCCAGTGGGACTGAATCGGATTGGATGTCAGAGAGTTCATCTTCAGTATCCAAGAGCCTTCTACAAAGGATATGAACAACAAAACTAGGCAAGCTGAAGCCAAAAAGTAGGAATTAGGGACCAACTAATAACGAACAGTCTCTAAGGTGCTGCAAGACTATTTGTTATTTAAGTTCTTCCAGTTTTAATGGCAGTTAGTTAGTTTGCAGCATTGTCTCTGTGTCGCTAAATGCTTAGCTTGCTCACTGGGGAAGCACCGTTTCAGGGGTAGAAGCTCAACTGGGGGCACTTGTGACTGCATTCTGCATGCCTCCTATTCCTTACTTCTGCTCACTTCTGCCATTGGTGTGTGGGACTGCTTCTAGTCTTACCTCTGCCTTCTACCTCCTGCCCCCTTCACTTCTATGCTGTAGGGTGTGAGAAGATCCCATGTTCCATCTGGGCCTGGGACCTGCCCAACCCACCACATCTGGGTTTTGGTGTTTAAATTACAATTCTTGCAAATGTGGGAGATTCCAGTGTGGCTAGTGGGTTCGATAGGATCTGACTAAGGTCCCTACAACTCAATTGCCTGCTTCAACATTAGATTATGTAGGCCAGTAAAAAAAGGAATTTGAGGGGACACCAGGAGTGAGGTGGCTGGATGCACAATAACTTGAATACATTAGCTATATCATCCTGATGTGCGTGTGTGCAGAGTTTGCAGTTCCCAGGCTTTACAGAAAAGTCCTACAGAATTTGATTGCAAACACAAATTTTTCTGTAGATTTTTAGAACCATCAATCCCAAGAAAGGTGGGCATTTGCTTCTATGTTTAGAGCAACTTGTGGCCCTCCTTATTTGATCTCTCTCACCAAGCATGGAGGAAGAAAGGCTTTTAAGACTGACATAAAATGGTGTCTCTGCTTGTGACCATATTATAGTGCCTGTGGCTACGTCTAGATTGCAGCGCTTTTTTGGGATACCAAAGGTATCCTGGAAAAGCAATGCTGCATCCAAGGAACACATCTGCTTTCCCAAAAAGTTTTCAGAAAAGCAGACACGCTCTTTTGCCATTCCTTTAAACCTCGTTCTACGAGGCAGAAGGAATGTGTCGAAAGAGCAGGTATTTTTGAAATTTGGTGCCGTGTAGATGTGCCAAATTTCGGAAAAGCCTCTTTTGAAAGAACATCGGAAAAAGATACGCAATTTGCACACCGCAAATTGCGTATCTTTTTCCAATTTAATTCTGCAGTCTAGACATAGCCTGTGAGTCATCATTTCTGGGTCAATGTAAAAAATAAGGTTTGCCTTCTGTAAACTGTAGATATAATAGTATGCCTCCAGAAAGTGAACATTTATTCTCAGAGCATCTGAACAATTTTAGAGTACCCCAGCTCTATGTGGGGTATCAGTTAGTAACAGCAAAAATATTCACATCCATTATTAACAGATTACTTCAGAATTATGTGAGCGACTGATCTGAGGCTGTATTTGGGATATTTGCAGTGCAAATATATGGACAACCTATAACAAGGGAAAAACAGTTGTGGTAGCAAAGGTATACCACAAAGGATACAAATAACTCAGGCACTAAAGGCTCTCAGTTAATCAGAAAAGTTAGAAAAGCTAAGCCTGTGTTCTTTGCAAAAAAGGATGTTGAGAAGGAGCTGCAGTGGGAGAGCAGTGTTGGGCTGGAAGCAGAAAGTTTCCTTGGCTTGTGTTTTCAGGGGAAGCCAGTGATTAAGAACCAGGGATTATCCCAGCTTCACACTGCTTCCTGCTAGGAATTCAAATCCAACTCAGTATTTCTGAAAGTAACAGATGCCTAAATATGGATTTTGCTATAAACATACGTATGTATATTTAGGCCCTAACTTTCTGTGCCATATCTGTAAAATGGAGATGATAACACTTGCTTACCTGATGATTAAGTAGATGAAATTTGCAACGTGCTGTGTAAATCCTGCAATTCACCATAATGTCCACACACGTTCAAATTACTGGAACACTTCCTGGAATTAAATTCTCTACCCTCCAATCTTGGACAACAATCCCTTGCCTAACTTTTCTACATTGTAGAGAGGTGCATAGTAAGGGGGGGAGTGAAGGGGATGGGATCTAAAGGTCCCTCAGCCCCACATTTCATTTTATCATCTTATTAGAAAAATAATGTAGTTAAATCTTGCCACTGTGGTTGCACACATTGTTTGTTCTAATAACAATGCTTTCTACCAAAAAATCTTTCTGAAACATGGAGCTGTTTGAATTTGAGCTCCTGTGAATGTTTACATTAGTTTACTAGCCAGAGAGTGTTTTAACAATTAAAGATGCTCAATTCCTACAGCGTTCATTCTGACAAGGTGAAAACTTGAGGGGGTATCATTCTGGAAGAGGAGGATTCCTGAGCTATGGTTTTACAGGATGAAGTACACAAGAGCTTTGGCATTTGGAGAGCACAGGAAGGAAAAAAAAGATTGGCTATCCCCCCATTTACCATTCCCATTTTTTTCTTTTTTGTTTGGTCTCATTTTTTCCCTCTCCTTTCAGTAATCTTTTCCTTCTTTTTCATGTCTGTCAGATCCTCTCTTAATTCTTTGACTTCCCTTCCAAGACCTTGCCTTCTGGGATGCAATGCTATGGAGGAGAGCAAGTGAGCAGAGGCATGGACAAGCAGGTGTGACTCCCAGACATATAACAGAAGGGCAGATGAGCTACTTTGCGCAGCAGTGCACTCAGTTTCCAAAGGGATCTAATTCTCTGGAAGGGGAGGGTTTGGAGAGGCTGCTCAGTGAGAGATTTATGTGGAGGCATGATGTCACCATTATTATCTGACATGCTCGAGTGTGGTTCTTGAGGTGCACAAGTACAGTTTCACCAGTTCATCTGTCTTGTGGCTTCTTCAGGAGGCTAGTGTTCTGGACTTTGCAAAAACCCAGAACACAACTTTGCTTTCTGTGAAGCCATCACTGGATTTACCTGGCCACCATGTTAACTGAGTTAGCTGAGTTATTCATGAATTTCAATGTATATTTTCAGACCACGCGACAAAAATCAATGGAGGGGAAGGAGGTTTGCATAAGAGGGTGGAACATGGGGCAGTCATTTATTGGGAGAATACAACAGATATGGGAGTAGGGTGGGAGTAAAAAAATACCAAGACTGGCTTTGGGGTGACGGCAGAAATTGATCTTGTTCCCCAGTTTTAATCTGTAATGTAATCCACTGAACTCTGCATTTGTTTAACTTTGTTATAAAACATCTTTGGGGAGATTATGATGTTTATAGTCTTGACAATTTGGAATGTAATATATGTATTGTATAACCAAGATAAAAAAATATAATCCCTCAACCATTTTATAAGTGATCAAATACTTTCTCCAGCGGGATGAAATTCTCCTGCAATGAAACAGCTATAGAAAGCTCTTCGGTATAACACAACATGAACCTCAAATTGCATGGGACTTAAGCTGCTACAAAACAAGCACACACCTATGTATGGTACAGTAAATCCTTTTGTTTTGGTTTGCATTTGTTTAAAATTTACCAGGAATTTATCTGCATTTATTTTTAAAAAATTGAAAAGCTGTGGGGAAAAAAAACAATAAAAATGAAAAACAAAGGACCAGCAGCCTTAGCAACAAGAGCTATCTGGTATGCACATAAGGTGGTGGCGAAATTAAGGTAGAGTGAGCTTTCTGTTCTTTGCATCCTTGTCATAGCAGTTCATTCTTTTTAGGTGACAAATCTGAGGAATTGTCGCAGATTGAGGTGTCATAAAAGGAGATTTTGGAACAAATAAATAAATTTAACAGTAACAAAAATCACAGAGACCAGATGGCACTCACCCAAGAGTTCTGAAAGAACTCAAAAATGAAATTGCGGAACTATTAACTGTGGTTTGTAAGCCATCCTTTAAATTAGCTTCCGTACCTAATGACTGGAAAATAGCTAACATGATGCTAATATTTTAAAAGGCACTGGAGGTAAGTCTAATGTCAGTACCAGGCAAATTAGTTGAAACTTTAGTAAAGAATAAAATTGTCAGATGAACATAATTTGTTGGGGAAAAGTGAACATGGTTTCTGTAAAGAGAAATCATGACTTACTAATCTACTAGAGTTCTTTAAGGGGGGTCAATAAACATGTGAATCAGGGGCATCCAGTGGATATAATATACTTAGATTTCCAGAAAGCCTTTGAAAAGGTCCCTCACCAAAGGCTCCTTAAGTAAAGTAAGTTGTCATGAGATAAGAGGGGAGGTTCTCTCATGGACTGATAACTGGTTAAATGACAGGAAACAAAGGGTAGGAATAAATGATAAGTTTTCAGAGTAGAGAGAGGTAACCAGTGTCTATTCTGGGACCAATCCTATTAAATTTATTGATAAATGGTGTGGAGAAAGGGGTAAACAGTGAGGTGGCAAAATTTGCAGATGATACCAAACTGCTCAAGATAGTTAAGACCAAAGTAGACTGTGAAGAGCTTCAAAATGATTTCACCAAACTAAGTGATTGGGCAACAAAATGGCAAATGAAATATAATGTTGATAAATGAAAAGTAATGCACATTGGAAAAAATGATCCCAACTATACATACAATATTATGGGGACTATTTAGCTACAACTACTCAAGAGAGAGATCTTGGAGTCATTGTGGATAGTTCTCTGAAAACATCCACTCAGTGTGCAGCGGCAGTCAAAAAAACAAACAGAATGTTAAGAATCATTTGAAAAGGAATAGAGAATAAGACAGAAAATGTCTTATTGCCTCTATATAAAACCATGGCATGCCCACATCTTGAATACTGCATACAGATGTGGTAATCTCATCTTAAAAAAGATATATTGATATTGGAAAAGGTTCAGAGAAGGGCAACAAAAATGATTAGGGGTTTGGAAGGGTCCCATATAAAGAAAGATTAAAAAGACTTGGACTTTTCAGTTTAGAAAAAAAAGAGATTAAGGGGGGATATGATAGAGGTCTCTAAAATCATGACTAGTATGGAAAAAAAAGTGAATAAGGAAAAGTTGTTTACTTGTTTCCATAACATGAGAACCAGGGATCACCAAATGAAATTA